GTATTCTCGGAAATCGCATGTGAACAATGCGTATAGAATCAATTGAAGAAAATGATCATCGAGAAATGAATATGGTGAATTCAGAGGTTTCAGATGTGCCATTTAGTTGCCGTATCAGTGACAGAGAAGGGGAGGGTTATTTCATATATCATTGAGTAATAGTAAGCATGTTTAAGTTATCGTTTGCAACGAAAGATATGAATGAGGGAGTGACTGGTGTTTCAACGTTACCATGGAGATTCCATTTAAATATGCGTTCCCCTTTTAGCATTCGTAATATTCTACAGTTTCGTAAAGTGCACTCCAATTATGAGGTATTACTTCGATTGGACGAACGCTTTTCAAACAGCGATCTTGCTGCGCTGTTAGAATGCGAGTTCTTATACTTCCGATTAAGCTTTTTGATAGGATTTAAGTTTAACACTGCTAAGAAATTGATTCAAAAATACTCTGTGACTGTGCTGTTTTGGAAACATGAAAAAAATTTTGAGTCATAAGATCTGCCAATAGATCATAAAATTCATCATAGAATGGGAAACTTTCAATGTTTTTAGCATAAACATAGTTTTGTTGAGCAGTAGTGGGTAAAACTTGAAGAAACGTAATCGCAGAGTACTGTGTTTGCTTTAATAGTCATCTGCAGTGCTCTTTTTCGTTCAACCGAGAACAGGCATCTTTTTGATTGTTCTGTTTGTTCCGATCCATCTAAGACATCTGAAAATTCCCTTCCTAATCGCCACCATTTTTCAGTGAACCAATCCGATTGAGATCACATATTTTCATCAATTGAGCAATTTTTCCCTATTCAGTAGTTTTCATTCAATCTCTCCAGATGTAATCCTCGTAATCTGTAATCACAAGTTAGAATGTCAGTTGATCCGGTGTTTAAAATTTCTCAGTGACGAATCTTCTTTGTGTTCTAAAATTTTCGTCTAAAATTTCAGTTTTGAAAGTGATGTTTGATATGTCACGCATAGAACATAATGAGTAACTTTCTCCCGCTGAATGTTTTCAATATGACATACTATCGATGAGATCGCATTTTGTGATTAACGAATTTCCTTTGAAGCAAGTTAAGCAAACGGATAAACGCCTATGATTGGTAAGTGATGCTTATCGAGAAGAGGATATCGCAGTGAATCGTTGTGAAGGATTATGTGTGCTTGTTGTTTGCGTCAGATGGAGTAGGAGAATCTTCGTACGATGGACGATATCGAGAGAACTCTAAACGCAACTGATCGATTTTTACAAGCGATCATCTCGGTGAGTCCCTTTCCAATCTCGAGTTAACTTTTTTTTGAAAATCCAACGAAACTTCGATCCCTTTAAATAAGTGGATAACGAACTGCAAGTGTAGCGATGGAGCGCAAACGATACGATGTATCAGGGAGTCGAAAGTGATCTATGGACAAAAGTGATATATAAGTCAACCTTTCGCTTAATACCTTAACTATTTACGTATAAGATGGGATACATGTACACGGATATAACATATTGCATGATGAAATAGAATATTCGTATGTACTGTTGGAAGACCATTTTATCCCTTTGTGCTTGCATGATCGTCTTGTACTGCCTTATTGATTCACATGATGAAATCATGATGAATTGGAACTTTAGCAGAATGACTTTATCCTTTTGTGCTTATACGATATTAATCCTTTGTGTTTGCCGAAACCATGAAACCGACCAAACCTTAGCGATCCCATGTATAATTCAGCAATGAGAGTGTAGTGTTTTTGCGGTCAATACTAGTATCAATCTTACTTTCACCTGTGCAATTAGACAAGATGCTTGCATCAGAGAAGTTAGGTGATTGTATCAGTTAATGATGGAAATTGACATAAACACTGCAAAACGTTTGCTTGATCAGGATGAGAGTCGCCTTCACGACAAGGATTTCATGGCGAATTTGAGCCGATTACGTCAACAACATAAGCAGACATTCTCGATCATTGAATCGCTCTATAACACCAATGTTGATCATCACTATCATCATACGGTGGCACCTCCGCATTTATCAACGAGTGAATATGATGCTGATATGTTCGGTAATGCTTTTAGTTCATTAGGATTGCTTCATAGCATATTCTTTATTAGCAATGACTACACGTTTACTTGACATTTGAAAACAAATTGAACTTGTGCATTCATTGAGCTTTTAAAGTTATTCAATTTCCCGTCACATTAAATGAATGCAAATCTTTGTTTTTACCTTGATACTTCCATTAATTTCTTTCTGCTTGGTCACACGCACTCCTTCCCGATTAACATCCCATCTGCTTTTAAACGGCCCAAAAAAAAAAGACCTTTTGAGATTCAAAGCTTTTCTCTAGTAGATTTATAACACTTGTCAGAAAGCATCAATTCATGCTTTTATGCCCCATTCATTTTCTTTTATGCCCATCAAACTCTTGTCATTATGTTATTTGGAAGACACAACAGGAGCATGTGCATCATCCAATACCCTTCAGATTACTGTAATCGTGGTTATTTGGGCGATCAGCAGCGTTCCAAGTCAATGCAATCGCTATTGCACAGTTGTGAATGCTGGCAAGAAGAGAAAACAGTTCAGTTCACTGAAGAAGAATGGATCCCTCAGATTACTGTGCCGAAACCGTTCAAGATGACCCTGAGGTGGGTTGATAGATTGCAAAATTAACCAATCCATTTCACTCGATCCACTAAAATGACTCTGGACTGGTATAGATACACTCGCTGAAATTGCGGTAGTAAACTAATAGTAAAAATGTTACTGTGAATGGCTGACAACGAATTTTACAAGTACTGTAAATGCACTTGCATTGTTTTGCGTACAATTTTAAAATGTTTCTTTCTATTCAGGGATGAGAAGAGGCCAATAAAAGCCACATATTCACAAAAGTTTCTGAACAGTTTGATGGAGGAGAAACAAGAGCAACTACGTGAAAACAGACACGCAACTAACAAACTCAGGTATGTGTGAAGGATTTTGCTCTTTGAGACGCTATTTTATTTCAATTTAGATTCGTAAAATGAATTTGAGGACTGAAAACAAACAGCCAAATACGGAGGAATTGATGAATTCATGAATTTCATCTAAAATCTATTTGACCGAACATCATTTGAATTGTTCCATCAGTGAAATCGCACTGGATTCTCGGCCAAATGTTTGCTTTAATTCAGGTTCAAAGCAAGACAGGTACCAAGATCGACATACGAGCCGAGGTATGAACAGTTGCTGGATGATATGGAACGTGTGAGTTGTCTATCTTCCGTTGCCAATCTTCAGCGCTTCAAGTACTCACCTAATAATATCCGGCTTCAGTTAGCAAATGAATGTAAGAATTTAAAGGCTCGTGAAGAACGTCACCATCGCGCAATAGAAATGAGCAAAAGTGCTCGACGACCATTCAGTGCCGTTCGAGGTGCATCGTACTGTCATCGTCCACTAACCAATTACCATATGCGTCGATGTGCGAGTGCAGATGCATCCGAATGGCAACGACGAGAGACTTTCAAGGCGAATGATGTACCGCTGAGTGTTTATTTGCCTCCGCACAAAGACGAGATTCAAGCCGCGTTCCGAGCAAAAGCTAAGGCTGAACGTGCCATTAAGATGATCGAACAAAGTAAAGAGCCTCGCGGAATGCAGGTGCTCTATCGCATTTGGTTATTATACACTTGATGCATTTACTGATCAATATTCACTGATGATATCGTATTGTGAAACGTCCATAAGAAATGAGCGAAATGTTTTGAAATATTTCAATTGTGACCGTGAAACATATCTAGCTTGAAGCTATCAGTTAAATATGTTGACAGGCATCTCCTTACAAGAAAGACTGATCGACAAACACCCTGTTAGAATGAAATCGAAATGTAGTTACTTCAATGTTTGAAACTGGTGCTTGTTTGTACGGAAATGCTGAATTTAGGAGAGAGCTGTTCGTTCGAAAGTTCAAAATCACATTCGTCATAGTCGGGTGTGTGCGGCTGAACAATATGTACCTCCACTACCGCCATCCAAATCGGTTTGTTATACGTTTTAGGACAGTGGTTCTTATGGGGGTGAAATTACCCATTTTGGGTAAATTGGAGGTGTCAAAGGGTAATGGAAGGGGTCGGGAACTTAATATTTCGTGCGATTGTTATTTTATGATAAGGCGCCATTGTAATGTTTTTTTAACTCGGATATGCAAATGGAACTCTTCATTCTCATGTTTTCTGAGTATCATTAGCTCGTCCGGGTCTAACAGGATTTTCATTCTTTTCCTTGTTGCTATAATCACTCTCATACCTTTTGTCACCAAAAGTGTTCACTTCTGTTCATTTCTCATTCATTTCAAAGAATAATTAAAGTCAAATTCTCATTCTATCAAATACACTCTNTATTCGCATGTAATAGCTATGAGAGTGAATACAACACGTCTGAAAAGAATGAGAATCCATCTGAATCAGTTTGAAGTGAGTGTATCATAGACAATAGCTTTTCATGCAATCATAATCGATTTCAATACTGATCATGAGGAACACAACGGTCTAATTGTATAAGAAGGCCCAGCGATATTGATTACCATCATTAACGTGCTAATAAGATTGAACATAACGGACATTTGAACATCACGTATGCGATTTCCATATTCGATGGGGAGAGGGATGGGGGAGGTAACGGCAGCCTGCCCAATCATCAAAAGCGGTAACGTGAGAACTACTGTCTCACAATGAACTGAAATGCCTAAAGTGAATAATTTGATAAGGAGGTGAACTTATGTTCAATATCATAAAGCTAATCGAAAGAACAACGTTTTAAATTGACTTCAAGAGGATTTATATCCCAAGAGAGAGCGATAGAGGAAACGTCATAAAATCCTAATGCAGTTCAGATCTGAATTTTATTTTTCAATTCAATCATGTGATATGATCAGTTTCTGATATAGAAGTACTTGTCAGCTCAATCAGTTGGTTTAGATACCAGATTTCAAACGTCTTCATCAACGCCTCAACGATAAACTCGATAAAGCACCCGTGAAACCGACAACTATCGCGAAACCGTTTCATTTCGAATCTGATGATCGAATTCGATCACACAATGTTAGTTTTGCTCATTTTGTGGGCTCTTATGCGACACCACTGCAAATATTCTGTTGAGCACATTGTTTTCGATCATTCGATCGTCCTGTCTCAGAAATTGAGCCAGCCGTATTGCTAGTCAAACCTGGCCACAACTCGCAGTCTGAATACGAATATGAGTCTATGCCGAATCACGGCACAGCTATCATTCATTATTAAAATTTTATGGTCAAGAAACATCGAGCAAGTGATCCAAGCTCACACCATGGTGCTCCGTTTGTATATGAAATCATTGCGCTTAAGTGAAGCGAGTGAAAACTTTTTAGTGAATTTGCATGCAAATTTGCATGTAGAAAACTGAAAAATATGAAAACTTGACTGTGATAGGATTGACTGAATGATCAATTCAGTGCAAGCCAACATCACTATCCGATAACCCGAAAAACTTGCGACGACGATGCTTTTCGGTGGTGAATTTGGCCACCGCCGACTCATCTGCTGCTGGTGCCCATAGAGTTCGTTTGAACCAAGCCTCTCTGCTACGGAATGAAGCAATCAAGTCAGTGATGAAATTCATTCGCTTTCAGTCTAACTGATTTCCACGAATCCATGGATTTTGAAAAATGATCAACTTGTCATTATCACAAAGCATGATGTCAGTCGTTCTTGATAATCCACGAATGTTTGGATTGATTCAGCATTTCCCTAGAATTCCTCCTTCTAATAGGAATTTTGGAAGCTTCCAGTATTCTTTCAGAAATATTGATTGTTGCAAGTTTCATTTGAATCCATCTGAGAGTCGTGTCTTCAAAAAGTTGCGGAAACCATCGGAAAACTATCGCAGTGCTGAGGCCCAGTTTTATTGAAATGCTTGCAAACGGCAAAACCGACTGGCGTTGTATGCCTTTCACTGATGTAATTACAGATGGCGGATGCAAAAACTGGAAGCCGAAAAGAATCGGTCGAGAGACTTTTGGGAGGCGGTCAAAGAGGATCACCAAATCTATCGACAACGGCTAAGGCAACGGTTGTCGGCCGAAGGAGTTGTTTCGGATGACGTTAAGAGGAAACTTGAGGAAAAAAGGTTCACCACTGAATGAATCGAATTTAATCCGCTTTCAACTTAATCGCCCGAACCAAACTGTAACATCGAACTTGATTTGACCTCTGCTCTCAGCTACCTCCATTTGTACTGTTAGACTTCTCTCACC